GAAGAGGACTTTGATGGCAGCATGGAGCCAAGCTGCACGGAATCTGATGCCAATGAAGCAGGCTCCAACCAAGACATTCCGCGAAGAAGAAGCGAGGAATCCGTTGTCACAAAATCCGAGGCCAAAGGGCTTGAATCCAAACAAGTCGTCCCTCGCACCAACAGCAAAAGATCAAGGTGAGCAAAGTCAAGAGCGAAGAGTGCAAAATCTAGTTTCGCGCAGCCCCGCAAGGATAAGAAGAGTTCAAGCAAGACGGAATCAAGGACTGAAACAAAAAGCTCAATGCAAGCAACACTGCACGCCAGCAACAAACTTCCAAGTCAAGCAAAGGATTGCAAAGGAAGGAAGGAATCTGGATGCAGGAAGTCCAAAGCAAAGATTGCTGAGCCTAGATGTGCCATTCCACGAGGAAACAACGAAAAGTCCAGGTGACAAAGCTCTGGCGCAAGCAGCAGAGACTCTGGCCGGACGAAGCTATGCACAGGGATGGACAGCTCTACATGGACAAAGTCAGGAGCGAAAGGCAGCAAATCCGGGCAAGCCATGCCATGAAGAGACAGCAAGAGATCCAAGTGAACAAAGTCAAGAACCGGTGATGCAAAACCCAGTTTCGCACGGCCTCTCGGAAAGGGTGTCAATTCCAAATGGGCAGAATCTAGAACTAGCAGGAGCAGGTCCAATCAAGCGTTGCCATGTAGAAGTGAAAAGGGCCCTGAGCATACATAATCCGATGCTGACAATGGAAAACTGGGACAAACTGTGCCCAAAACAGGCATGGCCGAGTCCACTTGTGCAAAGGACCGCAGTGACAGCAGAAGGCCAAAGTGCGCTGAATCTGGTGCAAGCATGAGCAATCCTGGACAAGCAGAACTGTGGGGAAACAGCAGCAAGCCCAGTTGGACAAAGCCCAAAACGGGCAAAAGCAATCCAAACCGAGCATTCCCTTGCAGAAGCAAAAACAAACCAGGACAAACAAAGTCAAGCACTGACAATGTGAGACCTGACCACGAGATACCGACCACAAGTGGTGCCAGACCCAGGTGTATCATGGATCTCAGCAAGAGCGGCAGGCCCAAGTGCGCCATGTCTGACAACAAGAGTGGCAATTCTGAGCAAGCAGAGCTTCGGATGGAAGCTGACAATTCAAAATTTGCTGCATCAAGGGCAGACAAAACTAAACCAAGGCATGCGAGGCCTTGGAGCGGTGGAGGTGGTCCTGGGTGAACAAAGTCCAAGACCAGCGGAAGCAGTCCAAACCGTGCCAGTCCACAAAGCAACACCAACAAATCAGGGCAAGCGGGACTTTGCAAGAAAGGCGGCAATTCTGGATGTAAGAAATCAAGCGCAAACATAACAGACCCCGTATGAGAGGGTCCCCTCGATGGTGGCAAAGATCCCAGGTGGGCAAGATCAAGGGCAAAAGGAGAAGATCCTGGCCTTGCAAATCCCTTTGTGAATGTGAAGAAATCTGGGTGAACAAGGTCCAAGACTGAACAAGACAAGCTCATGCTAGCTATTCCAAGGGCCGGAAGTGCAAGATCCATCTTTAGCACACTTTGCAGCAGCATGAAGAGATCAAGGTGTGAGGAGTCTAGCAACAACAGCGAGAGGCCAGTGCATAAGAGCGATCTCGAAGACATGGGAAAGCCAAAATGTGCAAGGCCCAACACCAATGCTGCAAACCCTGAGTGCCCATAGCTGTGAAGCAGTGGGAAGAAACCCAGCTGTGTGAATGATAGAGCAGGCGATACCAGTCCCAGATGTCCAACTCCATGTGGTGGCAGAAGCAGTCCCAAGCTGGCAGAGTCCAGGGCAAAAAGGCTTGGCTCAAAGCAAGAAAGGCTTCTGACTGACAGGGAAAGGTCTGCGTGCACAGGGTCCAAGGCCAGCAAAGCAAAATCAAGATAGGACACTCCTTGCAGCAACAGGAATGATTCCAAATCTACAAGATCTGACGCTGAGAGAGGTAAGCCCACCCAAGCTAGGCCGAATAGAGAAAGCGCTAAGTCGACTCTGCCAAGAGACTGAAGCAACAGCAGAGATTCCGGATGTGCAGGGTCCAGAAGCAACACAGGGGGGCCTGGCTTAGAAAAGCTTTTAGGAAGTACGAATGAGTCCAAGTGAACAAAATCAAGAACCAGTAACGAACTGTCAGGTCAGGCACTGCTTCTTGGTGGAAGGAACAAACCCAGTTGGACAAAGCCCAAAACGGGCAAAAGCAATCCAAACCGAGCATTCCCTTGCAGAAGCAAAAACAAACCAGGACAAACAAAGTCAAGCACTGACAATGTGAGACCTGACCACGAGATACCGACCACAAGTGGTGCCAGACCCAGGTGTATCATGGATCTCAGCAAGAGCGGCAGGCCCAAGTGCGCCATGTCTGACAACAACAGTGACAATTCTGAGCAAGTAGAGCTTCGGATGGAAGCTGACAATTCAAAATTTGCTGCATCAAGGGCAGACAAGACTAAACCAAGGCATGCGAGGCCTTGCAGCGGTGGAGGTGGTCCTGGGTGAACAAAGTCCAAGACCAGCGGAAGCAGTCCAAACCGTGCCAGTCCACAAAGCAACACCAACAAATCAGGGCAAGCGGGACTTTGCAAGAAAGGCAGCAATTCTGGATGTAAGAAATCAAGCACAAACAGAACAGACCCCGTATGAGAGGGTCCCCTCGATGGTGGCAAAGATCCCAGGTGGGCAAGATCAAGGGCAAAAGGAGAAGATCCTGGCCTTGCAAAGCCATGTGGAAAGATTGAGAACCCGAGGTGTGCAGAGTCCAGAACAAACAAGAGCAGATCCAAACATGCACGAGATTGCAATAGCAAGCTCAACCCAAAGTGCGCCATGTCAAGAAGGGACGGCAAAGACTCAGGCCATGCACAGCCTTGCAAGGGAATCAAACTTCCTGAATGGACAAAGTCCAGAACTAGCGAGAGCACTTCAACACGAGCAACTCCAGAGGCAAATGGCATGAGTCCCAGACGAATGGAATTCCGCACGAGCATTGAGGAGCCCATCTGGACAAGATGTGGGGCTGACGGACTCAACCCCAAACGCACAGGTGAACGTACAGGCGGCGAAAAGCCTGGCTGAACAAGGTCCAAAGCAAGCAACACCGGACCAACCCAAGCGAAGCCACGGAGGGAAAGCATTGGTCCCAGGTGAACAAGGTTAAAGGCAAAAAGCGCCAATCCCATTTGCCCAAATGATCTGAGAGATGAAGAAAGTCCCGCATGGACAAAATCAAGAGCCAGCAGTATAGGTCCGCACCAGGCAACTCCTTGCAACGACAGAGGGAATTCCAGATGTACAAAATCAAGGACCAATGAAAACAACTCCAGGCGACCACGACCTTGAAGGAACACTAGGGGTCCCACATGAACAAAGTCCAAGGCAGAGAGACTAGACTCAAGTTGTGCCGAACCTCGCGGTGAAGGTGAGCTGTCCAAATGAACGAAGTCGAGGACTGGCAACACAAAGCCGAGTCGTGAACTCCCTCTCAAGGACAGGAGTGGTCCACAATGAACAGGATCCAGCACTAGCAAAACAGAACCAAACCTACCTGCCCCTTGAAGCAACGACAGAAGATCAAAGTGCACGGAATCCAGTACTAGAGGTAGAGGGTCTGGCATTGCTTTACCCACTGCAGACAAGGATGGATCAAGGCAAATCAAGGATTGTAGGAAGGGCGGGAAATCAAGGTGAGAGAAGTCCAGGGGGGATGGAGAGAATCCCAAATGACTGTGACTTCGCAAAAGCATGGACAGTTCAAGATGAGCAAATTCCACAATCAACATGACAGGACCAAGTCAGGCACAGCCCTGTGACAGCAGCAAAAGGCCTGAATGTGCAGGCTCCGGTGCTAGTAAGACTGGTCCTGATCTGACGTAGCCTTGGACAGATAATGGGAAACCCAAATGCGAAGAATCCAACGCAAAAACCGCAAAACCAAGGCATGCAAGACTCCTGACAAAGGGTGAGCTTTCGAGGTAGGATACATCCAGTACTGGAAGCACCGGTTCTAAGCATGCAAAACCTTGGAGCAGCAAGGGAAACCCCAAGTGTATAGAGTCAGGAGCTAGAAGTGAAGATTCAAGACATGCCAATCCACACACTGGAATTGAAAAGTCTCCCCAAATCAGGCTCCGGGTAGAAATGAATGGCTCCAGGTGCGAGAAGTCTGGGAGCAGCATTGCAGAACCTAAATATGCACGACCATGCAGAAGCAAAGGCAGACCCAAATGAAGAAGGTCTGATGCTGAAAGTGCAAATCCTAGTCGAGCACAGCCCCTGGCTAAAAGGGATGATCCTGAGTGAGCGGGGTCTGGCACAGATAGACTGGATCCCAGTCAAGCAGCTCCGCGTAAAGGTGGAAACGGTCCCAAAGTAACAAAATCCAGAGCAAAAGGCAAGCTTCCCAATCTGATTTCACTGAATGCAAATGTGGAGGAGTCCATGTAACCACTAGCTTGGAGCAGCAACGGTGAATCTAAATGGAGAAAGTCCAGGACTGATGATGCTAGCTCCGGCTGGGAGTAGCCTCTCAACAGTGACAAGAAGCCTGCGTGTATGGAATCGGGCACAAACACCAAACTTCCAAGATACGATGCACCTTGCGGCGACAGGGGAAACCCCAAGTGTATAGAGTCAGGAGCGAGAAGTGAAGATTCAAGACATGCCAATCCACACACTGGAATTGAAAAGTCTCCCCAAATCAGGCTCCGGGTAGAAATGCATGGCTCCAGGTGCGAGAAGTCTGGGAGCAGCATTGCAGAACCTAAATATGCACGACCATGCAGAAGCAAAGGCAGACCCAAATGAAGAAGGTCTGATGCTGAAAGTGCAAATCCTAGTCGAGCACAGCCCCTGGCTAAAAGGGATGATCCTGAGTGAGAGGAGTCTGGCACAAACAAAACCAACTCTGAGTATGCAAATCCTTGCGATGGCAGGGAACTTCCAGGCACTGCAAAATCAAGGACAAAGGCAGCAGATTCTGGTCAAGAGAAGCTCCTCGAGGGCAGTGAGAGATCCGAGTGCAAGAAATCCAGCACCAGCGGAGCAAGGCCCAGTTTGGCATAGCCCTGCGACAGCATCAGTGGTCCCAAATGAGCAAAGCTCAAGGCTAGTGAAGCAGAGTCAAGCCAAGCACGTCCCTGAAGAAATGAGGACAAGTCCACAGTCGTAAAATCCAGCACCGACAGCACCAAACCAAGACAAGCAGATCCCTGCAGAAACGAGAAGAAGTCAAGGTGAACAAAATCAGGTGCTGGCGGGGCTAAGTCCAAGCAGGCAACACCACGCAATGGTGGGAGCAGACCTGGAGTGGTAAAATCAAGGGCTGAGAGGCTAAAACCAGGGCATGACAAACCAGCAGCGAATGAAGGTAGGCCAACACAAGCAAGGGCATGCAAAGGCAAGGAGAAGCCCAAGTGTGAAAGGTCAAGAGGTGGTAAAGGCAAATCCAACTAGGACGTACCACGCAAAGACAGGAGTGGATCTGCAATGACAAAGTCCAGCGCCAGCAAAGACAAGTCCAACCAACCCACACCCACCAATGGGGATGACAGCTCCAGTCAAGCGTAGTTGTGCAATGAAGGCAGTGAATCCAAGTGCGAAAAGTCTGGCACTGATACAAAGGATTCAAGCCTTGCAAGACTTCTGGCCAATGCTGAACTGCCGAGAATAGTGATGTCTGTCACTGACAGTGAGAAGACCAAGCCCATGCGTGCTAGACCTAGCAAGGGTATCAAGCTGCCAAAGCAACTGAGACTTTGTAGAAACGAAAGTGAACCCAGGTGTTGAAAGTCGAGGACAAAGAGCGGCAATCCAGGATAAGCACGACCACGAAGTGATGGCAAGGGGCCTGTGTGGACCATCTCCAGCACCAGCAAGACAGGTTCTGGCCAAGCAAATCCTTTCAGAAGTATCAAAGGGCCCGAGTGCAAAAAGTCCAGCACCAACAAAGCGCTACCAAGTCGTGCGAAACCATGCACCGGCAAAGGCGGATCCAGCACTGTAAAATCCAAAACTGGCAACGCTAAACCGAGTCATGCACAGCCATGGGGCAAAGTCAACAGTCCAAGTTGCACAGAATCCAGTGCCAAGACTGAAAAGTCAAAACACGATAGACCGCAAACAAACGTTAGAAGTCCAGCACACAAAGGGTTTTTAGGAGACAAGGAAGGCCCCAAATGCGCACAATCCAACACAAATAGCGCTGGACCTGGACGAGAAGAAGCATGTGGTGGAGGTGGTGACTCAAAAGCTCCAGCGTCTGAGACAAATGGCAGCAGATCGAGTTTTGTGATACCGAAGGCTAAAATGGATGAGCCCATGTAAGAGAGGCTCTGAAACAACAGGAAAAAACCAAACTTTGCAAAGTCCAGCATTGGAGTGGCAAAACCAAGGCAACTGAAACTTTTCACCAATGACAACGAGCCATGTTGAACAAAGTCGGGCACCAATGAGACTGGTTCAACTTGTGAGAGACCACGGAGTGACATGGAACTTCCCAACGTTGCAGAATCTGAGGCTGGTGGTGCGAAATCAGGTCTTGCAAGGCCTTTCAGGAAAGGTGCGAACCCGGGGTGTATAAAGTCACATACCAGCAACGCCGATCCAAAGCAGCTAGAACTTTGTACAAACGAACTCAATCCCAGTGAGACAGAATCTGAAGTCAACATGACTAGTCCCAACTGGGCACCTCCGCGCAAGAGCAATGAAGACTCTGGATGAGCAAGGTCAAGCACTAAGAGACTCAGTTCCAATCGAACGAACCCACGGACTGAGAGTGACAAGTCAAGGTGTACAAAATCCAAGGCTGATGACACAGGGCCGAGGCAAGCACAGCCATGCAATGACAGAGGTGAGCCCAAGACCGCAAGGTCAAGTGCAAACAACAGAGATTCTAAGCAGGAGAAACTCTGAAGCAGCAGTACAAACCCTAGATGTAAAAAATCTGGCACGGGCGACAGTGACTCCAACCGTGCTGACCCACTTATTGGCACGAATAAGTCAAAACAGGCCAAGCTGTGAAGTGACATGGAGCTGCTAAGATGTGTGAGGTCCAACGCAAAAAGTCCCAAACCCAACTTCGAAGAACTTCTGGGTGGAAGCAACAGTTCAAGGTGAAGGAAATCCAAGACTGACACAGCAAAGCCCAGGCGCGCACAACCTCTCAAGCTCATCAAGGAGTCCAAGTGGCCAAAGTCTGAAGCAAGGAGTGCAAATCCTGGATGGGCAAAGCCTTGCAAAAATATTGCAAAATCTGAATTGACAAAGTCCAAAGCTGGTAGCGCAGAAGCCGATCTCACACAGCCATGCACCAATGAAGAGGGTCCCAAATGAACAGCATCTGATGCCAAAGGGGAGGAACCAAATCGGACCAGCGAGCAAACAAACAACAACGAGCCAGGATATGCAAAGCTTCTGGTGGAAGGAGAAAGTCCTGGATGGCTGAGATCCAACAGAAATAGAGCGAACCCTGGACACACTGGAGACTGCGCTGGCAACAACAAACCCAGCACTACAGAATCAGGCACCAAAAGCACCAAGCCAAGGCATGCGCAACCCCTCACAAGTGGAGGCAAGCCTGAGGTTGCAAAGTTCAACACAAGCAGCAACAATTCTGCACGCGCAAAGCCTCTGAGGCTCAGAGATGATCCTGAATGAGTGGAGTCCAACACCAGCAGCAGAAAGCCGAGGTATGTCAGGGACCTTACAAGTGAGGATGATCCCACGGTAGTGGAGTCCAGAACTGAAAGCAAAGAGCTAAGACGTCCAACACCCAATGTGAACACCACAGAGTCCAACAAGCCAAAGCTGTGCAGCAGCAATGACGAGCCCGATCCAACAACGTCCAACACCGGCGACAGAAAACCCAGGTGCGTGAGACTGCGTGTCGACAGCAATGAACCAGCAACAGCAAAGTCCAACGATGAAGGTGCGAAACCTGCGCAACTGTAGCTCCTCAGGAAAAGTAAGGAGTCTGAGTGAACAAAGTCCAGGACAAACAAGGATAGCCCGGGACACGTGTAGCTTCTGAGGAACATCAAGAATCCAACGTGCACAAAGTCAAGAGCCAGCAACACCGGTCCCGAACAACTCAGACCGCGCAGTGACACAGAAAGTCCAAAGAGTGCAGGGTCAAGCGCCAACAACGACGACCCTGGCTTGACTGTCCCAAACAGCAAAGTTGAGGGGCCGGCTCTGGCATGGCCCTGTGAAGGCGGAAAGAACTCCAGGTGCGAAGGATCTGGGACCAGCAGCAATGGGCCCAGGTAGCTGGAAGACCTCAACAAGGTCGAAGAACCAATATGAGCAAGCTCCAGTGAGAATGGCACAGGTTCCAAACAAACACATCCTCGAACGAACAAAGACAGCCCCAATGTGGCAGGGTCAGGCACTGATAAAGCCAAGCCTGGTTAACTGGGACTGCGCAGGAATGGAGGAAATCCAAGGTGTACGAAGTCCAACACCAATGACACGAGTCCAAGTCGTACCACAGACCTAACTGAAAGCGACAGTCCTGAATGGGTGGAATCAAGCGCCAGCAAGGACGGACTAGAGCAGGCCATACCCACAACAAACAGCAGTGAGCCAAGACATCCAAAGTTTCGGATAGGCGTTGCAAGTCCGGGATGTGAAGGGTCCAGCACTGGTGTCACTGATCCCGATCAGGTGAGGGATTGGAGTGGAAGCGAGAATCCAAGGTGGAGAAAGTCCAGTGCCGGAATGGCGGATCCAAGGCATGCAAGGCTATGAATTGGTAAGGATAGGCCAAACTGTGTGAAGTCGAGGAGCAGCACCAAACTACCTTCCAGGGGGTCAATTTGAGGATGTGAAGGGCTATGCTTGCGGATGGGGTGACCAAAAGCGATCAATCAAATTGTACCAAAAGGATCTGAAAGGACTATACGTAACAATACAATTTCTTCCAGCAAATCTGGATGCAACGATGCAGTAGTGTTTCTAAGTGTTCTGTTCAGAGTGGAAAAGCATTATTGCACATTCTTTGAAAGATTGCAATCCACTTTGGGTGTAGTTTGCTTGCTTCTCTTAATTACTCAAGCAGCTTGCGCGTTACTGTGCCATCAGTTTTGGTCAAAGTGTCTACAGTATTTGAAACATTGAGTGTGTTTGAAAAAGGAATCCTCTGCAACACAAACAGCTTGCATTTGCAAACAGGCCAGCTCTAAAGTTTCAATAGGTTTAAGCTTGACAATGGTCGGTTATCCGGCTGTCTCCAATCGACCCTGAGAATCAGCCTCCTGCTCGTGCATGCCCGTCTATGTCGCAACAAACGGAAGGCATCAGGTATAGAGTGTACCAGTATATACATGGATATATGAAGAAAAGTTTGAAGCCGGCTATTCACTTCACACTAGGCTTGTCTTTTCATGCAGTGTTGAAAGAATGTCCGCCAAAATGTTTGCATATGCCAAGATGATCCAAAACCATGTATGTATGCATGTATAAATGTATGTATGCGTGTTGTATATATATATATATGTACATATATAACATAATATACACATTTACATATAATATGTGTTCTTGAACCCAACACCTCCAGAAAAAATCGTCATTCGCCATCCTCAATGGCCTGGTCAACTGAAAGATCTGGTCGATGTGGAGCTACCCGGACCTCAGGAAATGGGCCATGTCCAATTGACAGCAGGAGAGTTTGTTGATATATTACATATATCATAAATCATCTAGATAAAGAATGATAAAGAAAGACAAAGAAAGACTGTTTGCGGGGAAAATGAGTTTCATTTCACATACATATACATATACATATACATATACATATACATATATATATATACATGTATATATATATACATACATATACATATACGTATACGTATACATATATACATATGCATATATATATATATATACACCTATATGGATCTAGTAATATATACATATATCATATATACATAAATATATTATAATATATTGGGGTTTAACGTCATCCCAAAGGTTTGTTCTGGATCCTCACAGTTGCTGCCTGGCATTGTGAAGCAGTGTATTGTCACGCAGGTCATTCTGGAAGACACCCGGGGTAAAACTTCAATGGATGCCTGGTCCAGTACATCTCAAACAGATTCCAAAAGCAGTGCAATTCTTCTCAGATGGGGGCCATGATGGGACCATAGTGTGCATGATCTGAATCCAGAAAAGACCATACAAATCGAGATTGCCAAAATTACCAAACAAATATATAACCGTAACTTTACCTCCCGCTCTGCAACTTTGTCAAACTTCAACCGTGCTCTCGAGCTCGTGGAATCCAACACAGAGACAGCTGGTCCTGGGTCGCACACAGCTCGTGCTGTATAGAAATCGCTGGATGCCGTTGCTGGAGATTGCTAGTCTTCATAGCAAACCGTTTTTGTACTCCAAGGTAGCCGAATATTCTTCCCACCATATGAACAGCTATTTTTAGAATTGCCATTCCCATCCCTTGGTATGCCTTCGTATGCCTTCGTATGCCTTGTGATCATCTCTTAGGGTGTGCTGAGTACTGCAACCCCGCAGAGGGACAGTCCTGGATGTCCAAAGCTGCGAAGCAAAATCGGCGAGTCGATGTGAACGAAGTCCAACGCCTGGTGACCGCGCTAACCCCCAGGCCTGACTGTGCCAGTTTCTCGTTTGGGCCCCACATATCACTGCTGTCAGAAAAGATTAGTACCATCAATCTGAATCCATCTGAGCAAAAGAAGTTGAAGTCAGAAAATGAAGGCCTGAGGCAAGTCAAACTAAGCCAACGCTTTCCCTTTCGAACATGTCTTTTGCCAGAAATCTGCATTTCCCACATGAGTAAAAATGGTATCCAGACTCAATGAGATCCTACACCTGTCATCCTCTCCTCACTGAATGATCTCACTATATTCCAACCCGCAGAGTTCAGTGGCCGTGGCATTCATTTTGTGCATGACATCAAGAATCGCATATCACAGCTGGGGTGCACTGCAATATATAGAAGAGGATACAACTGTGAATACTGCAAGGAGTCAAAACTGTGCAATCGACCAGAACGTGATGTTGGAGTGATGTATGAACATTGATTTCCCAAGAATCTGATGACCACGAGAATATGGCGCTTCAAGCTACCACATCTATGGTGGGATACAGTCTGAGCCACGAACCAGCAAGAATGATTCGAGGCAAACGTAGCTTTGAACAAACGATGGAGATCCTGACCAGCGAAAGGTACAACATTCGTCGACCGAAATGCAATTCTCACATCCTAAGCCGTCCTAAGCCTTCATTTCTCACCTTGTTGATTTTTCAGTTTCATGATGCTTCACATTCTTTCACATTCACACTTCACAAGGCAACAAACCACCGATGACCTGATTGGCATCAAGTAGACTGAGTAGACTACTTTATGATTCCCGGAGTGGTTTCATTGCCTTACAGAACCTGTCACTGCCCTGTCCAACCGTATCGGATACGTCACGAAATCCAGAGATCTGACAGGGCCTGCATGCACAAAGTCCAGGACGGACACTGCAAAGCCTGACCTGTTCAGCAAAGACGCTGCCCTTGCAGTTCTGGTTTATCCATTCTACAAAAACCCAGTGGGTACCATGCAGTCATAAATCTATCTATCTATCTATCCATCTATCTATCCATCTATCTATCTATCCATCTATCTATCTATCCAACTATCTATCTAGTTGTTGTTGTTGTCGTTGTTGTCGTTGTCGTGGTTTTTGTTGTCGTTGTTGTCGTCGTCGTTGTTGTTGTTGTTGTTCGCAACCTCTGTGCCCTGACGCACTCCCCCTTGCCGTCGGCCGGGGTCGCAGATGGATATATATATCTATAATATATATATATATATAAATCCTATGATAGATTTATAAAAATTTTTTGGTGTGGCGGGCAACACAGATAGATAGATAGATAGATAGATAGATAAATAGATGGATGGATGGATGGATGGATAGATAGATAGATACAACAACAACAACAACAACAACCACAACGCCAACAACAACAACAACAGCAACAACTGCAACCACAGCAACGACAACGACAACAACCACAACAACCACAACAACCACAACAACCACAACAACCACAACAACCACAACAACCACAACAACCACAACAACAACAACGACGACAACGACAACCACGACAACAACAACAACCACAACAAACAACAACAACAACAACAACAACAACAACAACAACAACAACAACAACAACCACCACGACGACGACGACGACGATGACGACGACGACGACGACGACCACGACGACGACGACGACCACAACGACAACGACAACGACAATAACCACAACAATCATAACAACAACAACAACAACAACAACAACAACAACAACAACAACAACAACAACAACAACAACAACAACAACAACAACAACAAATACAACAAATACAACAACAACATACAACAACAACATACAACAACAACAACAACAACAACAACAACAACAACAACAACAACAACAACAACAACAACAACAACAACAACAACAACAACAACTTACAACAACAACAACAACTTACTACAACTACAACAACAACAACAACAACCACAACAACAACAACAACCACAACAACAACCACAACAACCACAACAACCACAACAACCACAACGACCAACAACCAACAACCAACAACCAACAGCCGCAAAAAGTTGAAAAGTGCTGGTTTTTAGTGAGGGTTTAGAAGGAATAAATTGCAAAAAACTGAAACGTCTTGTTTTTTAGCCAGGTTTCAGAAGGACGTTAAGCCTCGAAGACTGCCATGGCCCTGCATCATTCCGTCCTTCAGTGCCACGGTGTTCCCTAGAAACTGGTTCTTTTTGCGGGATCACAGACGGTATGTGGCAGCGGTAACCTTTGATATCCTTTGATTTATGTCTATGTCCTTTTTCACTGTTTTTGTTTCACTTTTTTTGGTTCTTTTCTACGGATTTCAGAAGGCAAGTTAGAGAGTTTTTCGGTGCGATTCTATGGCTTGTTCGTCCTTTCATGCCATGCTCTTTTGCTGTGGGGAGGTGTTTTTTAATTGCTTTATTGGCGGAAAAGAGAAATGCCTTGTGATGCACTTTTCAAATTCTGATCTGTCTGTCTCTTAAACCTAAAAGGTGCCTCTTTTTGGGGGAGCTTGAACGGCATGTTGTTTAAGGGCATTGATCTCCCCACCTACACGTTGCTTCTCGTCGCGGGATCTTAGACGGTACATTACATTGCAACGGCATCCATTGATTAATAATCTATAATTGTCTGGGTAAACCTTTTTGAGGTCGTCTAGACCCATAGAAGCAGTATATCCTGCAGCCAATCACTCGAGCCGTTCAACTTTTGGTGGTGCACCCTGTTCCAGACTGGCATAGAAATCCGATCTGTACATCCATGCTAAGGTGCTTTTGTGCTTTACCTCTCTGTGCTACACTTCTGCATTGCAGAGAAGGAATGACTCCGAAGGGAAGCATGACCTCTTCACAAAGCAACAAGTAGCTTTCACTTTTAAATTCGAGATATCTAATGTTGACACATGCCCATTTGGGTTTGTGGTGGGCAATCATCTATAATTGCCTGGGTAAACCATCGAGATCATCTAGCCCCATGGAAGCCTGCAGCGAACGACCCTGACAGCATGCCAGCGAGACTAGCACAGAAATCATATCTGCACATCAATTCTTGAAACACGTGCTGGGCAGGAAGACAGAATCTGTGCATCTCTCTGCTACACTGCTGCACCGCGCAAAAAGGATACTCTGAAGCGATATGCTCCTTCATAGTCACATCCCACCTTGCACAAGCTTTCTGCAGCCATGACCTCTTCACGAAGCAACAAATAGCTATTGTAATACTGTCCGGGGCTGGCCCCTCTTGAAATCAGGCTGCAGGCATACGGCCAAATTAGATCGAGTATGGACCAAGACGGTGAAGCACTTCAAACATTGGGGACTTTTCATTGCGATGTTGCTGACCGGAAGATATTCGTTACGACGAACCTACCCATGCCACCTGTACTAGCATGAGCATTTGCGCCATCTTCCATGCATGGATCACCTGTAGGTGATCTCGAGATTGACATCGCTCCATCGGTCGGCCTAAATCTGTACAGGATGACTCTTGATGCAGCGTCCAATAGAAATGAAGGTTCTAACCAACAAACACTTGGATTTGGAAATGTGAGCAATAATGGAAATGAACCAACACAAACGGGGATTTACTTAAAGAAAAATGCGGCCTGAAGCCATGACCGGCATGATTTGAATCTGGTGGCTAAACATGATTGGACTCTGTTTGAAACTGGTTCCGACACGTGAACCGCTCGAACAATTTTTGGCATGCGCTGTACTTCAAACACCACTACCCTTGCCGGTGTGCCAGATGCAAACCGGTACAGCTACGGAGATACTCTACACAAACTCATACCAAAAGCCTCAAGTTTCAAAGCCTTCGTTCTTGGCATCACCTCCGTCATTGTCATTGCAACCATGATCATTTTTGCAACTGACAGCCGTCGGTGGGAACTCCAATCAAATCTGTACATCCCTATCCAGATGCGCCAATGCGGAAGCAGTATGCTGAGTCAAACATGATTTTCGCTACCAGAGGCCAAAAAAAAACTCGTAAATACGGTGCTTTGGGCTTCCGAGACGCAAAAAACATCGGTATTTACGGTGCTTTTGGCTCCCAGAGTCTCATAAAAATGCGAAAACACAAACTATTTCACGATTTTCAGCCGCAACGATACTGAGAAAAAAGCTGCAGGGGTAACAACAACAACAACAACAACAAACAACAAACAACAAACAACAAACAACAAACAACAACCAACAACCAACAACCAACAACCAACAACCAACAACCAACAACCAACAACCAACAACCAACAACCAACAACCAACAACCAACAACCAACAACAACCCACAACAACCAACAACACACAACAACAACAACAACACACAACGACAACGACAACGACAACGACAACCAAACCACAACGACAACGACAACGACAACGACAACGACCACGACCACGACCACGACCACGACCACGACCACGACCACGACCACGACGACGACGACGACGACGACGACCACGACGACAACGACAACGACAACGACAACGACAACGACAACGACAACCACCACAACGACAACCACCACAACAACAACAACAACAACAACAACGACAACGACAACAACAACAACAACAACAACAACCAACAACAACAACAACAACCAACAACAACAACAACAAGAAGAAGAAGAAGAAGCACAAAAATGCGACAAAAAGATGTGTGGTAAGATGGTTTCAAGCTGAGATATGAAAAGAACATCACACTGTGCTCTGCACCTGCGCGCACACGCAGGTCACATGCGCAATACCAACGCTCACACTACTATACATAACCCTTATGGCATCACCGGTGTGCGAAGCTCTACAATATCATCATGTTGACTACATGCAATGTGTGGTTTGACAAAGCATTCCCCCGCCACATACGCCGGGACTCAAGACCTTCTGTCTGCGCTGTGAAGCTTTCGAGGCGACAAGGTGACAAAGTTCGAGTGAGATTTTGGGGGACTTGAATTATAGGCTATAGACTATATACTTGCAACTCCTGAAGCAATACCTTTGTATCATGTATCCTGAAAAGAATGCCAAGTCACACAGTACATATCCCAACAGCTATATAGTGCTATGTGTATAGCACTTTACATCACTTTGAATACAGGCCCTCCCAACAAAGTATCTGATTGAAACGTAGAAACAAACGCAAGCATTGCCGCAATTTTCGAGCCTTGCCGGGCTTCGCAGTGACAACGGGCTACCCAAATTTACAAAGTCCAGGACCTGAAGGGTGGCCCGTTGCATGACAGAATCCGGTGATGGATTTGTTGATGAAATATGGTGCAAGGGTTGATTCCTTGCGTAAACCTGTTTATTCATTGCCATATTGCATCTGCACATCTTTTTGTATGTTTGTGTTGGTCTAGACATATAGCATCTTCACGCGTTATTGCCATTGACCCAACTAGAGCAAGCTGGGACTCCAGGCTCATGTTAAAGCCAAGACCACACACAGATTCTATCTCCATTTCATGAACATCTCAAGATTCCAAATGGATGCAGCCAGAAACGGAAGCAGAAGAACTATCTGGACACAGGATAAAGATTGAAAAAACAACTGAAATAAGGTGATCTTGACTAACCATCACTTACAGTGACGCTGTCATGAGGTTGTTATCATAAACCCAGAACCATCTACGACATTCGAGGACTGGATAGCAATTCCCAAGAACCCCAAGTTCACTGAGCTCACACACCGGCAAAGAGCTTCCCATCCGACTCAAGCTGAAGGCGGAGAAGGATGAACCCACACCTTAGGATGCAGCTGGACCATTCAAAAATGGATACATTGACATGTCAGGATGGTAACTGAAAGAGTGCTCTTTGGCTGTAGAGTTGTCCACTTCATCCACTTACTTTTCTTAAAATCTTGTTTTGCCCATAGAGTTTTCCAGCACCTCTCCCAAAATCATTGGGAGAAGTCCATCTCTAAATTTCTATAACAATGGATACACAGCATATAGCAGGGAAGATGTGAGAATTCCCAGCGCATCCAGGTCAACTGGTGAGGCTATCTCACCCGAGAAACTCCCGGCGCCCAAGGCAACAGTCCCAGCCAACTCTCTTTCTAAGTTAGAAACCCAATAGGCTATAGAATATATAGTTATAATTTATATTATATATATATATCCTGAATAACTCTATATATATTGGCAATAGCTATTGCATACTTAGGGAAAACAAGCAGGTAGATGGTTAAGAGGGAGTTGCTGCCGCAGTGTTTTGATGATAATATGAGTCGTGGAAGTCAGATACCACTCTGATAAAAGACTCCTTCGCCCCTGGCATATTCACCAAGGATTAAAGATATCCAACAGGGCTCTGGCAGGCGAAATTCCTGGTTGACAGAGAACTGCCCATACCTGGAAAAACGCCAATGAAGGCAGCAGGGGGGAAAATTAGCATATAGTTGGGAAGGTTCTGTTCTTTGAGCTGCTGGTGACTTCATATCCCTCCACAATTTTAGTTTGCATATTTCACAGTATGAGTTGCATTCCTGTGCATGTTTCGCTGAGAAGAATGCAAGACCATTGGCTCTTCTATGTCAAACATCCAGCAATTTGTTTGCGAATTCCTTTCCAACTCTGCCAAAAATTCCACATCCCTCGACCTGCAAAGTCAAGCGTAGAAGGCGTTAAATCCATTCGCAAGGCTCCGAAGAGTGAAGAGGAGCTGCCAAAGCCTTGGCAGAAACAGGTCTTCTTTTCCTCTTGTTCAAATAGTTTGACGTTTGCAGGGAGGCCTTTCGGAGAAACACTGAAGCCCTTGAGACAGACCCCTCTCGTATCCTCCACGAAACACCAAACAATAATTGTTCACATCAAGATTATCAAATTACATCAAGCCCATATGAAAATCACTAAAGATCAATCATTTCACATATGGCAGTGTGTCAAAACCTATAGTACCCCTTTTTTGTTCACATCAAAATAGCTGGGTTAAAATGGATGTTCATCCCCATCTCAAAATGGTATTTTTATAGCTATTGATCCATAGCCATATTTCAATCATGATCCAATTGATCCAATTGATCTGGCACCGAGGTCTCGGCGCATGTGGCTGCGCACCGACAAGGAGCTCCCAAGGTTGGTACGTCGCAAGACCTCACCGAGATGTCGCATCAATGAACCGAACAATACAAGTCCAGCTGTGATGCCTTTCTGATATCCCTCTAAAAACCTATAGTTATATAATGTTATATAGTTCACCATGATGTTTTGAAGATGAAAATTGTTTCATTCTGATCTTCACCTTGACGTATCGCTAGGACGCCTTCATGCAAGGACCTTTTCAGCACAAGGCTGAAGGGCACCAGCCCAAGAGGTATGGGGTTCTACATCGTCAAACAATGTCTAACAGGTCAAGGTCAGAAAAGTTCCCTGGAAGCAGCACGGAGAAGCTATGCCAAACACCTCATCCTCGATAATTACTGCTTAGAAGCTCAAATTCAGCCGAAAACCAAAAATGTGTTCTATTGCAATGTTCCTCTTGAAACTGCCACATCCACTCCACCAACAGTTGAAAAACCCGTGCTGCTCGCAACTGAGTCAAGGTGCTGAGAGTTCTCCGCCCAAACGAATCCAAGGGCCAAAAACCTGAGCGACAAACTGACTTGGGAGCAACTTCAACCGCCTTCCAGGATTGATGCCCTGTGAAATCTACGTAAATATAGTGTTTCCTGTGGAGGAAATTCATAAATTAAATGGCGTGTGTGTGTATATATATGTGTACGTATCAATCAACATCTAAGCTGGAACTCTGACTCTTGCCTCAAATGTCCAGGTTTTCTGAGCTCCCGACTGATAGACTGCTGCCCATGAGGGTATTTCCGAGGATCGACACGGCCGAGAAGAATGCTGCACCGGTGTAGATGCCGGGGTTGTTGTAGACTCGGATCCTGCCACCGGTCGCAGCAAAGACCCAGAGATTGAAACCCAAAAGTCACTGGGAAAATGTGCCAGGCATAAGACACAAGCCCTGGTGTGAAAACGTCAAAACTGCTGCTGGAAGAGCCGGTAGTACCTCGCAGATATGCATTGTGTATATATATTTTTTTAATATACATATATAATAAACAACTGATTGAAAAATACAACGGATACTAAAATAAGGAAAATCGAAAAAAAGAAAAAACCATGAACTTCGGCAGCTCCTGGGACGGTATAGTGGGTCGGTGAGTTCGAACATGGACTCCCCTTGGTAGAGGCCAGTCTGGAGGTTCCAGGGCTGGTTGGTGCCGATGTAGAGATTGGACCTGGGCTGATGAGCCTTTGAGCCTCTGATCCCTGACTCAATGGCTGCGGACTTCTTTGAGCTGAACCGTAAACGGCTCGTAACAACGAGGTTTTGGGGCTGGACAGGGCAGCCTATCAAAGTTCATTTGCAATTACACACGGCCGTGATACTAGGCCAGCAGTCAAATGCCTTCAACACCCTCTTGATGCTACTGTACAAGTCGGTGCTTGGAATGGGGTGGGGTGGGCCTTTAATATTCATGTGCAAGTGCTAACTTGTTCAACCAAGTTCCAACACGTTCTTGGTGCTACTAGTACTAACTTGCCCTAATAACTTCCAACACGTTCCCAATGCTATGCTACTAACTTGCACAGTCGAAGTAAAGGAAAAACACCTCCGGAATCGTATGCACGCATTCGTGAGTTACTTCAGCAATCTGCAAACACTTAAGTCATGACAGTGTCAACGTGGGATCTGGTACAAAGGTCCCACTTCACTTATAGTGTTATCATTTGAGACATTATTCATACATATTCATACCATTTCATACCTAAGGTGGATGGAGGCTGCAGTTTCGGGAACAGATCGCGGCCAGGCTCCTGACTCATTGGCCCCGGGCTGACCAACAATGAGAGAACTACCTCGGTGCAACCGCTGAGCCGCTGAGTATTCCAAAACAAAGTGCTTTAATCGGACAGGCTAGGTTTGTCTTTGAGCATGAACCTTCCACAAGAAAAGCATCAGAAGCTCGTTGACAAACCTTGGAAGCCTCAGTTGTTGCAAACTGAGGCACCAAGTACTTCTGTCTGCCCGTTATCATCGATGGCGAAAACCTAAGCCGCGTGGACGTCGTTTGATGCTTCTTTAGTGCTGAAGGTCTAATACGTTCGTGATACCTTGGCCCGTTATTTGTACTCAAAAAATGGAGATCCATACCTTCACAGTATTCAATGAATATATTTCTTACACCAATGGTTCCTTGTGCTACAAGTGCATCTTCTGCCTTTTACCCAGTGCAGTAGCAAAGTTCCTGAGTCAGAAGCGTTTGTCCCATCCTTGCAGATGCCATGCAACAGTGCCAGAGTGCCGGCAAATTGGGTGCCAATGTTTGATATGTTTGTGATGTCGGTGACACTACAGTGAATCATGGTACCCTCTGGTACTCAACATGGCAATGGAAAATGCCGCGCTTCTTATGGGGGAGTTCTTACTGCCATGGCCATGTTTGATTACCGCTTCGGTTCATCCCATGGCTTCGACTCACAAGAAGCATCAGTGAAGCATCAGCTTTATGCTCTGTCAGAGTCCTTGTTCGACAAGTAGAACTTCCCAGCCAGTCCAGACTGATTGTTCTCATCTTGGCGACAAGACGGAAGTTTGTCTTGCTATGCACGGCTGCACAGTTTTCTGATGCCCCAACCAACATGTCAAATACGGCAAAGAACAAGCAAGATGCATGTTTCAGAGAAATTGCCCTTGCATGGTGCACATATGCTTGCAAGAAACGAGCCCAAATGATTAGGCGCTTCGTGTTAGTTCCATTGGCTGGAAGAGTTAGATAGAAATCCCTACAAATGGAAGTTTCAACGGCAAAATCATTAATAAATGGGGAAAAAAACCAGAGCCATGTTTCATTGCCGAGGGTGGACAAAAAAGGACCGCCGGGCAAGGCCGAGTCGCTGTACTTCATCTCCCACTGGCGCACCTGCACATCACATGTGGCAGCCGGTCCAACATCTTTTGCATATCTCAAGAACAGGGCAAGATGTATATAATCTATGATCATCTATGATCTAGAATCTATAGAATGCCTGAATCTGGAACATCCACAAATACCCAAAGGTGCAAAACAGATGCAGAATGCATTCCGAACTTGCAAAGCCTTGTACAGGGAGTCATTTGTTCTACAAGGGCCCGCTGGAATCTGAGGACCAAACCCCTTGCTTCTTGAAGATGATGTTGGCTGTCATACCAGTCCGTGTGGGATCTGAGCACCAGCGTCACAAGAATCAACAGTGTAACAGTTTGTAACAGAGCTCCACCCAATTCTTGTGACGTTCTCGGACGCTCTGCATGCACTGCCTTTCAGGTGGACAACGGGATTTTCGCAAGATCTCCGGCCTATATCGAGTCCTCCGAGAAGTGTGATCCTCCCCTCTTTCGATACAAGCACCCATCCTTCTGCGACACAAACCTGCGGATTGAGGAGGCAGCGCTTCACTGAATTGACCATGTGAACCAAGATCATTAGCACTAAATGGCTGTGGATTCAACACCAAGGCACTAAATGCAGAAGGAGGAGTGCACATCGGCTCATTGAACCGCTCTTCATAGCAGGCCTCAGGTGCTGAAAAGAGAGCTGAGATCAAACGATTGCCTCCGAAAAGAGCTGGAGCACGCTGGAACTTCCAAGGAAGCAACATCAATATGCAATCTCATTCTTAGTTGATTGACTCCTGCTACAAACCTCAGGACCCATCGCAACACCAAAAAAGAATGATCTAGGCTTCAGTTGAATAGTGACATGCTTGGATCAGCCCAATCCAAAACCCGCCCAGGCGTCCGCACGTACCATATTGCAATGTGAAACCTGGCAAACTGCACATACTGCACTGCAAGACTGTAAAAAAATTGCAATTTATTCCCTGTTGTCAACCTCTCCACAGATTTTAGCCATTTGTCACTGTCAATCGTCGTCAATGACAAAGGGGTATCCGGCCTGCCAGCTAATTTAGCAGCTGGCCGAACTTGCGTGCGCGTGCGGCAGAGCCGACACTGCAGAAAGACAAACAAGCTCTGTCTTAACACTAGATGGAATAACCGGAATAACTGGTTGGTGGTTTCAACCCATCCCAGAAATACTAATCGATTAGAATGTAAATGAAACATATGCGAAACGATCAACCAGGCAAGCACTTTTCCAAAGTTCTTGGGAGATATGAGATGATGGCACGATGCGAAGGTTGACCATCAAACGTCGCAGGCTGTGGACCCTTCGGCGCTATCTCGGTCAAAAAAACCTTTGCGCCCCGCATCACAAACAGGGCACACAGCAAACAAGAAAATCATATTTCCACGGGCGGAGATGGTGGAGGTGTTCCACCATGCTACATATTAGAGCCTTCTTGGGGACTTAACTTTGCTTCTGACGGGAGATTTATTCATCCAATTCACCTCTCTTTTCCACAGCTTGGCATATCGGTATGAGTCAAATTTGGGTACCGCCAAAGTTTGATCATGCTTTGCTGAAATTACGAAAGGGTGTTGCTCAGTCTCTTCTCAATTCGGACCTAGAGCCATCTAATTAGGTTTGGACAAATCTCAACAAATACTGTATCTGGTTTGAAACTTTGGCGGTCCTTCGGCGATCACTACTTTGGATCAGCCCGTGGCACTGCTCTTTTTTTTGTGCAATTGCACCGAGAAAACTAGCCTCAGATAGCACAAGATTATGCACAGTGCCATGCGAGAGCAACTAGACAAAAAGCCACCACTAGAACTAGAACTAGAATCATGGGTTTGGGGTTTGTGGTAGCTCGATTCTCTTTTCAGCTCGGCGAAGTCGTTGACGGTGGAGAGTTTGTTCGAGAGTTTTTCCATAAACATTGATACTGTACATAATCATTCTGCACCTGCTTATCAAGAATCTTTGCCTCCTTCAAACCTAAAATGGAACAGCCACAGATCGCTCAAGCCATGTCTGGGGCCAAGGCCAGCATCAAAGCCCGCCTCCAAGGCCCGAGATTGGCTGAAACTCATGTAGTTGGTCCTCAATGGCACCGGACAGCGGCTGTGACATGCTGTGACAATGGAAGCTGAGCTCCGTGCACTGTTGGAGATGGCTTGATGGAAGGCACTTCGAGGCCACCTTGGAATGCGAAGAGGAACAATAGAATGAATAAGGAAAACGATAGTCCGATAGACCAACAAAATTTCAGGAACATTCAAGAATCACAGATCAGATGATTAGCCACTGCCACAACCACAATTCCCACACTCAGCAGCAAGACTACAATTACAAAAAAATGCAGCAATCAGCAGCAACGCTGGTGGCAGGACAGAAAGAACGTATATAGGATTTTAAAAGGATCACGGTGGCCATGCTTCTGGATCATATCTGGATCATTACTCATCAAATCTTATCAACATGGATTTGTCCATGGATTATCCCCAAAAATTGGGACAAGCCGACATCGCTACTCGGCGGCCGACCCAGGTCGTCCGGCACAGCCACGGAGTTCATTGACCTAGGAGAATGGTACCATCGGCTACCATCAATACACTAAGAATAAATTGAATAAATAACAATAACAACAATGATAGACACAATGATAGTAATAACGTAATAGTAACACTTAGTACGTAAATGTACGTAATAATAATAGCAGTAACAACTATAATAATAAGCCCTAATCATATTCAATAATGACTATTGATGAAGCCAACTTTGAAACTTAACCATGAACAAATGCCCCATGGTGATCTGCAAATGCGGCAAGGCTGCCGCGTCGGATCCATAGGCCTTATCTCATCTTTCAGCTGGGCTTCATCTAAACCTGGCAATTGCATCTAGCTCAGGTGGATGGCACCCGAAACATCTGAAACATCTGAAACATCTGAAACCTTTCACAAATCTCCCGGCAGCCTAGGCGACGAAGACTTTGCCTGTGTCTTGTGTGTGGCTAGGCAGTGCAGCGAATCATGGCTGGTACAGATGTGGTACAGCTGGGGCAGCAGCTCGGTTTGGCTCTTTCTTCTGCCGGTGATCTGCGCTACTGCATTTCCTGGTCGATTGTCGGCGTGCCGCAAAGGTCTAGAAAGTCTGTCAGCTCGGTGTGGCGACTGAGTGCTGGGCTGTCTTCAGGGGACAGCGCCTGTGCAAACTTTGACGAAACATCCGATTACGTCAACACTTTACCGTCCCGGGCCTCATCTCGAATGTCAAGAGTGAAGGCGTCCTGAACAATTTCCCCGAGCAACACAAAGAACCTGCTTTGACCCCACTGTTGGCAGCAAAAGAATATTGACCAGGTTCAAGAGAATCAAGAGACCACCAAGTCAGAATGTAATGAGACTGTTGCACCACGGGGAAACCAGTCTCTCAATGTAGAACTGCTATGAATTGCTAATAAATACGAATAATTACGCATCTCGACCTCTGGCAAGACAACTAAGAAGAAAAATGCTTAAGAAAAATGCTCCACAGCGAGAGGAAACATGAGGAAACATGGTTCGACCTTAAGGTCTTGGGAAGAGAAACCGGTATGTCTCAGGTTTGAGCTGCGCCAAACACTTGAAAGCTGAAAGAAAGGAGGCAAGAATTTCCCGCGACTAGGAGACAGGTTGAGGGTCCAATGACACCGTATAGAACGACCATGGAGAGACATCTCCTCATTATCCAGGACATCGTGAGCACAATTGAAGAAGTCGTTCCGCAATGACTTTTGGCAGTTCAGCAGAAATGCAGAAGCTCGCTTTCAAACTGATCCTATACACACAAACAGTGTGCGTTTGTGTGTGTGTGCACAACTTGATCAAGAAGGGCCTGTGTAAAGTCTCGAAAACTTCCACGATGTGCTACTTGCACCACTTCTCGTTCATCAGGCAACATGTCATCCACAGGCTCAAAGTCGTTCTCCTCGAAATGTTTGATCAGCGCAGAAACTGATGCCACATGCAAAAACGGAAGATCTTGCCGTTTCAAGAGGAGCAGCTTTTTCCAATGTCTTCCATCATCGCAATTCACCAGCCAAATTCACTGGCCTCCATTACGTGTTGAATACGACCAACAACTGGCCCATGCCCGGGTTCGAGCTTGGGCCTTGGGAACGCGCAAGATATCGTGCAGCACAAATGGCAGGCATAGGAAATCTCCGAGCTTCCAACAGCATCACACTGATCTTGGTGCGGACCATGTCGAAATTATCTTGCATTTCCTGGACTCGAGCAACCTCGTCCTTCACCTTGCCCGCCAGAATCGAAACTTGCAGCATCAAACGATAGCAAATCCCTTCCTCAAAAGTGTGATGGACAGAAACCAAATGCCTTGGGGAAGCAGCCAGCAAAAACTCTGGCAATGACAAAATCAATTTATATCAGTCAATCTGATCTCAAACCCATGCTCCTAAACTCTGGAACGCTCGCAGAAACTTTGGAACGCTTGACGCTGCACGACTGTCTGGCCTCCTTCTCTGCCTTGGCCTGTATCAATCTCACTTTCTGTATCTTGCTACAGCAAACGACCTTGGCGACGGCGCATCCCCCCTGTGAAATCTCATTAAGTATGACATAGTCATGACTGTGACAATACTCAAAGTTTATCAAAGCTTCATATCTGTTCAGTTTGGGCTTTTGCCCAAAGGTGTGGGAGACTGAGGAAGGGACGAGGAAGACGAATATCCCCGCGCAGCAGAGCAATACCAGCACTGTGATTGCCACACCTTGTGCTGTCAAGATTAGCAACTCCTCTCCACCTCTGATGTTCTCAATATGGCTTGTCTACGGAGGTTGCGAAAGAATTGAGACATACTGAGACTCTCTACCCTCAAAACACATCGCCACATCGTGTGTTCACATCCAGGCCTAGGCTACTGGTACCAATCTGACTTTCTGAACCTCCGCCTCGCAATGGCCGGAAACACATTGGTACCATTGCTCGAATATCTCGAATCCAAAAAATTGGCATGAAATGGCGGCCAAAAGCATCCAACAGCACCATTAACCGTTGTACCCTATTGTTACTGTTCACATCACAATAGCTATCAATAGCTGCTAGTTGCAGATAGTATCTGATCGTTGTGGCAGCGATGTTACCTGGCCTGGAGGATCCTTTTCGGTGATGGTGGTGACGGTCAGGATTGTGGGCACGACGACCGATGAAGCCAGAGACACCACGTCCACCTTGGAACATCTTGGAACCAAGCCAATTGGCATCGATGTTTGCATCGAAAATGAAAAACTGATTTTGGCAATGAAAAACGTTTTTTTAATCATTCAACAATCATGGAGGTTCCGAAATAACGAAACAGAATTTGTGAGATTTTGGAAGAGTACGGAACTTCCAATTTTGAGAACGGAATTTGCCTTGAACAGAGTCAGAGTCCAACACTTCAAGCTGAGTGGTCGAGCCTGCTGAGCCTCCAATAGATTGGTAAAGGCGACTTGCTCTTGCGAGCCCTGCACAACATCACCGGTGAAAGCCAAACAAAGGTCTCAGTCTTAGTGTTGCCAGACCTGCTGGTTGTTTATATAGATTTCCACAAAGTGGCTGGATGTACCCAGCAAATGACGAGAGCCAACACGCACCGGTTCATTCCGGCCCCCTTGGCCCCTGAGCCCCGTACCTCAGCCCTCAAAGCGAATGAAAAGCCAAGGATGGTGCCCGTGCTTTGAGCCTCTGTCGCAGTCGAATCTGCTTGCTGAGCCTCTTCCAGACTCCACACTTTGATGACATAATCGACAGCAAAGGTGGTGGCACCAGAGGCTGTTTGAACCTCCGAGGCATTCAGCTCCTCAATTTGTGCTGGGTTGATACCCATCAAATTTGCCAAAGCCTCTTTGGCCTTCTCTGCTGTCACGGGTGTTGTGGAATTCACCAGAATGGTGACACTACCCAACACAAAGTCCTGTTCCTCGTTGTCGACTGCAGGGCTATTTTCATCTATGCAAAAGGACTCTCCAATGTACCTGGTTGAACTGGAAGTCACAATGCACGTCCGATAGCCATAAACGAGATCACTGCAGTTTGCTACACATCGCTGGCCGTGAAGCATGTAGCTGCTGCAGTTCGGCTCATCCAAACACATCACAACCGGAAGGGTAGTTGTTGATGTGAAGGTCGACGATGTCGATGTCCCTGTGGTTGTTCTATTGCTTGGATGTGTGGCTTCCCATTCCGCCTCACGTATTGCTAGAATTACCACGGCTTGAATCTCTGGCTCAGTCAAGCCAACTTGAATCCCAATCAACTTAGCCAGTCGAGCAGCAGCATCTATTTGACCTTGCGTTGAAGAACAGTTGGACGAAAGCACAAGCTGGCCATTCTTGGCACTGGACTCTGCAGCTGCAGCAGCAGCAGCTGCTCCAGCCAATTCTGCTTGTCTCATAGCTGTGACATTGGCATTGGCGGCTATCTGTGCAGCAGCCAACCCCGCTGCGGTGGCTTGTTCTGTACAATTGTCACCTCGCTCGCGGGAAGCTTCTGCTGCTGCCTCTCCTGCTGATAAGGAAGACAGGTCAGACTGTTGGTCTGCTGCCATGCCTGACTGTCCTGCAAGTTGTCCTGACCATTGAGCGGCAGCATCTATTTGTTGCTGTGCCAACGCTAAAGCATGGTCATTACCACAATCTTCAAACGCAGGATGAGCTGACGGGCAGGTACCACCTGATGAGCAACACGTGTTGCCCGTGCATGCAGTGCCATCTGAGCAATTTGCAGGGAGGTCGTACATCAGAACCTGGTCTTCAAATACCGCAGCAGCAGCTGCAGCGCCCGACGCAAGCACTTGCTCTGTGTCCAAAAGGCCTGATGCCATCGCCTCATCAAATGCGGCCTCAAGACAGCTCTAAAGTTCAATGTGCAAGACATTCCAAACCAACTGTTTAGCAAAGCACTTAGAAACTGCCGAAACCCAAATGTGCTCCTTCTTTTCCCTTCGAGCCGGAGCCTGAGCCGCAGCCGCAACTTGTGCATCAAGGCTTTCACCCGCAGCAGCCGCGATGCCGGCAGCAGCTGCACCATGGGCTGCAGCAACCACCTCTGCTGTCGTTGTCGTATCCAAGCCTGCCACTGCGCTGATGCGCAAATTCAGTTGCAAACACCAAAAGCAGTTTCACCAAGTGGAAATCCAACCTTTGCCTCCAGAGCTTCAACACATGTGTTACTCTGAATGTTGCAAAAACTCATACACAGCCTACCCGGTTGAGCAGATCAAGAACTCAGGCAAATTTGGTGAATGGGATAAGATCAGGCATACAAACTGGATAGGCTCACATGGACACTAGCACTCCCAAGCCAAACCCGACTCTCAGTGGCCATATCAAATGACAAATACCCAGGCGTAACCATAAGGAAACAAAGGACAAAAGGAATCAAAGAAAAATGCAAACGAGAACAGGATCCGCGGCCATAGCAGAACAAAGCTTGCCCAAAGAGACTGGCAAATTCTAAAAAATCACCCTGAACATGCCAAATCACAATCCTGCTTTCGCGGCAGCAAGTCTTCCCCTCATCCCTGCGGATGATTGGCCTGCCAGTGTTGCAGCACTTGAAGCAGCAGCGGCAGCGGCGCCTCAGAGACAAGTAATCCAAAACCGACTCACCGTCACATGGGGATCCAACATTTTGACATCATATCCTGTGAATATCCCCATAGAGGTTGAAGCCAGAGCCAGCCACTGGCAACCAGTTGTCATTGCATTTCCCGCTCAGGCACTTATCTGGTCTGTCGCGGAAAGCGATGCCTGGCAGTGGGCAGTGGACCAACACTGAGTTCAGCGGATTTTTTCAAGATTCAAGCGTTCGACTCATGAGATCTTAGCACTTATCAGGACCCCGCAAGGGCCGAAACGTTTCTGATTCAAGCATGGTGTTCACTAATTCCAACACTTTGCTTCACAAAAAAAAATAGGCTTCGGTGGTATCCCCAACAGCCACAACGTTTTATTTTTACAAATCATATTCAAGTGTGCTGCGAAGCCAAGCGCTGGAAACACCTCAGCTGGGTTTCCGTGAGTTAAAACCCCGCAAATCCTGTTGAACCTGACCTGGCCTGACTCTGCACCAAAGCCTCCCAGACCTTCTCCGGAACCTTCTTCGGAACCCTGCTGAACCTGACCTGGCTCTGCACCAAAGCCTCCCGAAACCTTCTGCGCAACCTTCTTCGGAACCGTGTTGAACCTGGCTTTGCACCAGGCTTTGCACCAAAGCCTCCCAGACCTTCTCCGGAACCTTCTCCGGAACCCCTGTTGAACTTGACCTGGCTCTCCACCGAAGCCTCCCAGACCTTCTCTGGAACCTTCTCCAGAACCCTGGTGAACTTGACCTGGCTCTCCACCGAAGCCTCCCAGACCTTCTCCGGAACCGAACCCTGTTGAACCTGACCTGGCTCTGCACCGAAGCCTCCCAGACCTTCTCTGGAACCTTCTCCAGAACCCTGCTGAACTTGACCTGGCTCTCCACCGAAGCCTCCCAGACCTTCTCCGGAACCGAACCCTGTTGAACCTGACCTGGCTCTGCACCAAAGCCTCCCAGACCTTCTCCGGAACTTTCTCCGGAACCCTGTTGAACCTGACTTGGCTTTGCACCAAGGTTTCCTGGAACCTTCTCCGGAACCTTCGGAACTTTCTCTGGAACCTCGTTGAACCTGACCCGGCGCCTGCACCAGTGCACACCGGAGCTATTCTGGGCTGAAGACCCCATTGGCTTACGCTGTTGGGGAAAAATATCTGAAAAAGGAACTTGTTCGCCAAGGTCATGGAAAATCGTCTGCAGATATGACCATTCGGATCATTCCCAAGGTCCATCCCAAGAAAAATAATCCATGCACATAGTTTGAAGTGAGGACTTACATGCGTAGGACTTCCACGGTATTGCTTTGCATTGGGTACTTGAGAAAGAAAATATGTATGCGTATATGTAAATATGTGACGTCATACATAGATGTATATATATATATTCACATGTCACATGTGTGTATATACTGTATATATAGTCACATATATATATATATATTCACATATATATATATGTATACATATTCACACATGTAACACATATGTGTATATACATATATACACATTATACATTGGATCCTCCTCCCCCATGTTCCACATTGCATTCTCAACTCTCGCACCTCCTGAGCCGCAGCCTGGGCTGCGGCGGCGGCAGCTCTCGCCTCAGAAATCATTCAGAAATCAACACCCATGGAGGTTTACTAAGCAAAAAATGGAGGTTTTACCATCAAAAGTGTGTGAGCTTACTCGGCAAAAATGGAGGGTCACCGGGTTCACCATCCAAAATGTGGGTTTGACCATCAAACATGCCACTTTCCTGGGGGATACCATAGGTTTCACAACTAAAAAATGGTGTATCAATTTGGGTGTAACCATCACTGATTTGGGAGAAACAATTGATGGTTTGGGTTAACCCAATTATGGGATGCAGGCTCAACCACTAAAAATGTGGAGTGAAAACCAACCACTTTATGGGGATACAATGAGGGTATCACTAACAGTAACAATAAGATCTTACATGTTGGGATGGGTCTGGGTTTGTCAACAAATGGGTGATACCTTAAGATTGCAATTCCAACGGGGCAAATGATCATAATCGTAAGCCTTGAAATTTGGCAATACCTATTTTCAGACAAACCTAGATGACATCCCAGAAACCAGCACACCATGTTATATATCCGAATGACATAGCACCTGAAAATCAAGTTGATTTAATTACTGTATCCAAATATCCCATCATAACCCATTAAAGCACCATTTTTCGGATGGCTTCAACTTGAAAAATCAACGCCCCAGGCTGAGCACCTGCTGCTCAGGGCTTAGTCCACAGGAGGCCGCAGCAGCAGCTGCAGCTTCTCCCGCGGCCCCTGCCTGGAGATGAGATACCAATACAAAAATGGAGACCTAACCAACTTAACCATCAACCACGGAGACTTAACCAACTTAACCACCAACCATGGGGAACATATTACATACAATAATATATATATATATGTGCATGCATATATATATATAATTAAAACAATCCAATAAATTAGGGGTTTAGTGGCTGTCCAACTTTGCATTGCGAAAGGTTCCATCACATATACCAGAAAATGATGGTGTATACAAACACGTTCAAATACTATGGGTCCAGGTAGATGTTTCTTCATTGGCAGCAGTATCAGTTTAGGATCTGGCCCCTTTCAAGAGACATGATGAACACTGATGTGGCAGTGTGTCAAAACCTTGTACCCCTGGTGAACATCAAAATAGCTGGTAAATGGATGTTCATCCCACTAAAAATTGTATTTTTAGTAGGTATGGACCCATACCCATGTGTGTTTGTGTTTGTGTCCACTCAAGCGAACAATGAGCCCTGAATCCGTCAGTCCTGAACCAGCGCAGCATCGCCGGCGGTGGCGGAAATACGCTGCGCTGTTTCTCCAGCTCCATTTGCCCCAGCGAAGCAGCTTTCCTTCACCAAAGATTCAACTTCAATGAAGCGAAACGAAAAGCTGTAAAAAAAAGGCAATAAATAAGGACGTGAATCTGGTAGACTGCGAATTGAATCCCAAAAAGATAGAGGCAGCTTTTGAATTCGCGGTTTATGTCAGGTTGGGCTTGCTGGATAAGTAAATGAGCTCAAGCTTTGTACCCAACAGCGTAATAGTCTTTTACTATAAGACGAGCTGCAGGATCAAAAAGGTGAAATAAAGGCAGCCAGGAACATATGTATGTGGGTTCAGAACCCTTGGGAACCATATCCTATAGATAAAACAAAACCACTTGAAATCATCACTGTATAAGTCCTCGCATGAACGAAATCTGCCCATGCAAAGTTGCAAAGTCTGGCAGCTGAGGATTGAACACGGTGAGACAGTAGTTACTACAGCACTTGGAACGGCACACAGGAGGACACAACACCCGGCTGGGATTAGGGTGCAGATACTTCAAAGAACTTTTTGGAAAAGATGCCAAAGAAGGGGTTACCGGTTCTGAGTTCTGATTTCCTGCACCAATGTTCGCCCTGAAAAACACAAGAGCGCGTCGAGTCCTCCGGTGTGAGCCCTCTCTGCAGGCCAATTGCCGCAGCCGATGCTGCTGCAGCAGCTGCCTATCGATAAACGATCACTCTTGTTCAACGTCAAATTTGACAAAGCGGACCAGTCAATCAAATAATTTCACCAGATTCCATGCTCAAGGATACTACCACCAGAACATAAATTCAAGATCGTCTTTTTCCAGCCGACATTTCATGCGTCAAGATAAAATTGCATATTGTGAGATTAAGTGTTGTGTGTCATCCAGGACTAAACAAGGTATGCAACAAAAACCCTTTAGGCAAACATACATGACATGGATGTCAGAATAGAAAGCCCTCCTTCGTCCCAATGCTCCATGCGTTGTGGAATAAACTGCTCCAAAGCTGAATACTGACCCCACCCCTGTCTGGGACCTGTTCAGCCGCTGTGGCACTCAAAGTAGCTGCAGTTTCCTTAGGCACAAGTTCAAACAGTGTGACAGTGAGATGGTAATATGGCTTTGATGGTGGGGTGCTTTCTCTTATTGCCTATCCAAACCTGTTCAGTCAACAACGGTACAAATACACACCAGCGGCCGCAGGTGCGGGCCACGCTGGACTCCGGAAGACACAATCGGTCAAGGACTGTACCCACCAGGTACCAGGATCACTTCATGCTGCCACTGGACTCCAGACTCTGGAGTCTATGTAGATCGATCCCTCCAACCTTTTCATTGTAAAACCCCACGGCATAGAAACAATGGGAATGTGCTCAATCAAACAAAAGGATGGTTCAAGAGTGGCCAAAAAATCACAATCAGTGATAGATGAATGTTTGCACTCGTATCTATGATTATCTATATGTCTGTGTGCAGTGTACAGTGTGCAGTGTACATATTCGTATACATATATGTATACGTATACGTATACATATGCATATACATATATATATACATATATGATGTATATCATGCCCAGATCTGTGGCTATAATTGTTACATCTACATCTATATAAATATGTATATCTACATGAGAATAAATGTATAGTGTGTATATATGAGGATAAACGTACGTGACCATGTCATCCGACCACGGCAAGGATCGGCAGCCACCATTGCAGCCGCCTCCGCCACCTGCATCGGGGTCAAGCCCAGAGCCACGGCGGTGTCCGCCGCTGCTTGAGCTGCCAGGGCAGCCTCAGGTGGAGAAAACGGAGAACTCTACACATACGTAAATGATTGTAAATGTATAGTGGTATATCTGTCTATCTATCTATCTATCTATCTGTCTGTCTATCTAGCTAGCTATCTATCTATCTATCTATCTATCTATCTATCTAATCTATCTTACCTAATCTATCTTATCTAATCTATCTTACCTAATCTATCTAATCTAATCTATCTAATCTATCTAATCTATCTAATCTATCTCATCTATCTCATCTATCTCATCTATCTCATCTATCTCATCTATCTAATCTATCTAATCTATCTAATCTATCTAATCTATCTAATCTATCTAATCTATCTAATCTATCTAATCTATCTAATCTATCTAATCTATCTAATCTATCTAATCTATCTAATCTATCTAATCTATCTCTATCTAATCTATCTAATCTATCTAATCTATCTAATCTATCTAATCTATCTAATCTATCTAATCTATCTAATCTATCTAATCTATCTAATCTATCTAATCTATCTAATCTATCTAATCTATCAATCTATCTAATCTATCTAATCTATCTAATCTATCTAATCTATCTAATCTATCTAATCTATCTAATCTATCTAATCTATCTAATCTATCTAATCTATCTAATCTATCTAATCTATCTAATCTATCTAATCTATCTAATCTATCTAATCTATCTAATCTATCTATCTATCTAATCTATCTAATCTATCTAATCTATCTAATCTATCTATCTATCTATCTAATCTATCTAATCTATCTAATCTATCTAATCTATCTAATCTATCTAATCTATCTATCTATCTATCTATATGCATACATGTTTCTGTATGTATATGTGCTTCGATATTATAATGTATTGTGTACATGGTGTATATCATATCTAGCTACATACTTTTGATACTTCTACATATGTATAGAAAGACATAGAAAGAGAGATAGAGATAGAGATGTGTGTGTGTAACATCTGAACAGATGTAAAACTTCTTTTGTTCTAACCTTCTCACATTTGCAGGGGGTGCCAGGGATCATTGCAAGTCTGGCACTAACAAAGACACTTGCCTTGATCTGTGATATCAGAAAGGGACGCCTTTCTGACGTACCTGCCAATTTTACTGGAATGGGAAGAGGCTCAACCCAAGAACCTCCATGTGAAATTTCAATTTACTGCACTGTTGACGCAATCTGGAATCAATTTTGACATTTACATGCATCAGAACCTTCCTCAGTTTTTCGCCGAAACCATGTCGCCGACAGTATTTTTTGACTCTCTGGATTAACTCGCCGAAACCATGTCGCCGATGTATTTGGATTATTTTATCAAAACCACGTCGCCGATTCATTTATTCATTTTTGATGACGATCTTGGCCATGGAAACCATTCAGAAGAACTTCTATTATTCGTAGGGTGCATCGTTATTTTCGTTGTTTCATTTCTAATCTGCATGTTTCAGGATTCAGTTCCTGCCGGATCATATAATGATCCATTCTTATCTAGTGTGATTTCCATGGTGGCTCCGACATGGTGCCATGGAGCCATTGGAGGCAACCCTTTTTAGGGTGAGTGATGACCGTCTTGACTTCCGAATTTACACATTTTAATTTGGTAATTCGCTTAAGTCAATTGTAACAGCTGGCCATTTTCCTGGTCTCACACGTCGGTCGTGGAGTATGTGTTGAACAGCTTCCCGCAGTCTTGGGGATCGCCTTTTTACTGATGCGCATAGCTGGAAGCCACGTTAACATCTGTTTTTTCAACGTTGCTCGAGAGCTTGACAGACAAGTTACATCATGACATGGATTTATCTGGAGGTTTCAGGACATGCTTTAGGTGTGGTTCCTCTTCCTTTTGATGGTCTCTGGTGAGGTGAAACATATTGTGCATCTAATTCGAGGGAATTTGTAAGCCGTTATATGCCCTTGTGGCTGACTGGAACACGGGCCTGGATTGGCACAACGCACGACCTGTAGGTTTAGGAACTGAATCCTGTGGTTCTTCCTGGTGTGTGACTTTCCATTGTAGCTCTTTTTATTCGAGCAATGTACCCGTGGACTACTCCTCCGACGTCATGGCCTACCCCACCGCAGCCTACGAATCCATCTTCGACGTGGCCACAATCACCGCAGAACGCGCATTTATTTGGACAGCCTTCGCCACTACATCCTACGTGGTCTTCGTCGTCTTCGCTCATGCCGTCCACGTCAGTCACACCATCTTTGCCATTTACATCACTGACTTCGGCCCCTCATGCGGTACCAGCCCCTCAAATCGTGCCGACAATGCCCACACCTCTGGCCCCTGAAACCACGATGATGCACACCGCTCCACCGACCTTCACTACTCCTCCGGCACCCACCGCTCCACCCACATGGCATTCTGCTCCAGCTCCATCGCCTACAACGACTACTCCACCGACACCCTTGCAGAGCTCTCCATACCCTCCTCGCCATCCTCACCCTCCACTATTGGCGGAAGCATCTATGGCTCCTCCAGATGAACCTCCACTACCGGCAGTTAAGGCTGCCCCAAAGCTTCGCTCCGACAAGAGACCTGACAAACCACGTCGTTCAGCTCCAAAAGCCTCTGCCCCTGCTACACCACCGGCACCAACGGCAGCACTGTCCCCATCCATTTCACCAGAACTTGCAGCGCTGGGCTCCACTACACAACAACTTGCCGAGTCTGTTCGTCTTATTCAAGCTCAACAACAAATGATTCTGGATTCTCAACGTGCCCAAGAACAACGTCAGCTACTTATTCACCACGATGTACCTGCACGGGACCCTACACCGCCGACACCATTACCTACAACAACCACACCACTTACGGCCATGCCACCACCTGCACCCAAAGCACGACCCACCGAACCTGAAGTTCCTGACCATCGCATCCTACCTGGCCCAGCCACTTCTCCTCCTCACCACCTACGTGCTCCAACATCGCCAGCGCACAGACCACGATCCAGGGCTCCACGATCACGCTCTCGTCGACCTTCTGCACAACCACATCATCGTCGACATTCTCCTCGCCGTGCTGTTCGACCTCGTTCTCCCCTTCCTCGATTTCGGTCTTCCACGAAACACGACAAGGACCGCAGAACTCCTTCTCCATACAGACGACGATCACCGCCAAGACGCCGCTCCCCCGTGGTTCCTCGACGTCATCGATCTCACCCCAGACGACGTTCCAACACCCCTCGTCGACGTTCCAGCGGCCGCGAAGTCGTATTACGACCAGCTGCACGCCCAACCAATCCGGCCTACATCCCCACACCTGATGCTGATGACACCTGGGGCGAATGGGACAACAGTCACTATCCCGACGACTACCATCACAGCACTGCTCGACCCAACTCTCCCGCCGGACCACCACCACCTGAACCATCCACCAACCCCCCATCACAACCCGCAGCACCACTTGGAGCCGTGGCCTTCCGCGTCCCTGACGGTGACAGCGAAAACTCCGAGGTGACAGATGCATTTTCGATATCAAAATTTGACACGAATGACATCGACCTCAGTGAAATGGTTGAGGCGGCCAATGATCCACTGAGGGTACGTTGCTTGACTGAGCTCGACCCCGACTACACAGTACCCCTACGCCAATCATTGAACCACTCCAACATGCAGCTCTTCAACCAGTTTGTTGACGAAATGTTCCACCAGCTGGCTCAACCATATCGCACCGTCAACAACCAACTTATTTTCATCAAAGCCAGTCAAGCCACCGTCAAGAACATTGCCAGGGCCTTTGCACAATCCAGATTACTGGACATCGAGCTGGCGAAGCAAACCAAAGCATTTTACATCGAACCAGAGAACCTGCTGACCATCACTGTCCCAACGGGATTGCCCAAGAAACCGATCTATCGTGGCGAGCACATGGGCACCTACCTGATTTACCACAAAACGAGTTGGGAAACAGTTGCCAAGATCCTTGCTGAAGATTGCATTCGCCCGGCAACTTGGACAAAAAACGAAGCCGGCTACCCGACTCAATACCCATGCTACGGGTTCTTCGGCATGTCCTCGGAGATTCCTGACATTGATACCCTACCGGGCTATGCTGTCAAGGTATGTACCTCTCAGCTCTACCGCATAGGGAAAGGACAAAACCCATCTGGCCTATTGGCCATTTGTCGCTCACCTAAATGCATACGTGCCCTATCTGGAGGAAATGACCAAATTCAACGCTTGTGCAATCTATCGGGCATCTCCAAGGGCAAAGACAATGCAACGGCTATGAACTCCAGCGCCGCATCAATATGCTATGTTGCCTCCACTCATTCGGTTTACCCAGGCTTGATCACACACCAGGCAGCGGAAACAAACCCACCCACTACCGCCGCACCAACTGAACCACCAGCTGATCATGAACATCCAGCACGCCCTGACCCTACCGCTGACACACCTCCACCTTCAGACCCACCTCCTGACGACTCTGGAGCGACAACCAGCCACTACGAGACTGCCGAACATGCCCCACGAGATCATGCTCGCCGACATTGGCACGACAATGCTTCTTGGGACAGTTCAACCTACAACCGCCGAGATCGCCGTTCCTCCTATCGCGAAGGCCATTCTCGAGATCAGCACCGTGAAGGCCAACCTCGTTCTCGAAACTCGGCATACACCCAGTCCAGATCTCGCTGGTAAACACTTCACCCTTGAGGAGTACCTGACAAACTGTCGACTATTCGGCGACAGCGATCCAGTGAGCCTAGTGGCCTTGCCCGATTCTTTTGGAGTAACAATGCTTCTCCCGACACTCGGTATTGATGCCACTTCTTCCATCAAAAGGTTTTTGAATCGCCGCATGCTCATGGTATTGGAATCCTGCGTTACCTTCGATTTTCACCTCACGTTTCACACAGGGACTGTTTACCATGTTTCACACAATTCTGATCGCACGCCACCTTTGTATCACCTCTTCACGTTACCGCAGTTTTCAGTTGGCTAATCGAGCTTATTTTGATCTATCACCTCGTGGCTCCCGTCT